TTTAAGCACCGGCACCGTTTCAAAAGTACCGGTTTGGCACCGGTATCAGATAAAACCTAAACGATACCCATCCCTATACCAGACGTTGCTTCATAAGTAGTCTTGAGGATTATTGTGGAATTTTTCCTTTAGGCATCAAGTGCTTTTTAAACCATCTCCACTGCAGTCCCTGCACCAACTGTTTTCAAAGTTGATTATTACCAGTCTGCTGCAAAAACAATTAGTTCAGATTTCTTTAGTTGAAACGACACTTTCGCACTGACAGGATGATTCCCAAACAGCTCCAAACTTGGCATATACACAATGATGCCCAGTGTTTGTTAACTGGGATGTTAAACACAGTTTCTGTCCCACACATTTCTGTGCATATCACAGTAGATGATTGGCTGTCATTGAAAGCAGCAAAGCAGAGAAAACGTCACCTTTTGAGGTCATCAAAGACCTCCGGCAGGAGGAAGTTGAGCAGGGACCAGAGCTCGGCCAAGTTGTTCTGCAGCGGCGTGCCTGTCAGCAGCAGCTTGTTGTCAGTGGGCAGCAGCTTCAGCTCCCGCACCAGCCGACAGTTGAGGTTTTTGATCCTGTGGCCTTCGTCCACTATCAGGTACTTCCACTGGAAGCGCTGTTGCAGAACAGACACAAGCCGAGTGATTATCCAAAACAATTTATCAGCTAAGAAAGGAAGTTTTGATATAAAGGAATTTAATTAATTAAGCCATTCTCTCTCTCTCTATATGTAAAAAACACACAAACACACACTCATGGTCACGTCCCCTCTGCCATTTCAGAAGCAGCAGGGATCGTACCTGTAATAATTTCCTGTCAATCATGGAGATCTCAAAGGAGGTGATGACCACAGGGCACATGCTGAGGGGCCCCTGAGGCCGGCAGATCTGTTTCAGCAGCTTGGTCCTCTCTGGCTGAGAGCCGTGGTAAAGCAGCACGGACACCTGACACAAACAGGACTCAGAGTCAGCTGCTGTCATTCACCGCTGACACTTTTATAGGTTTTCATTCTTATCTGTGAATCAGACTTTGTGTGTCAGGGTGAGACGCTGAGCAGCGCGCTGTCTGACCTCTGGTGTGAAGCGTTTGAATTCATTGATCCAGTTGGGCAGCGTGGAGAGAGGAGCCACCACCAGGAAGGGGCCCAACACCTTCTTTTCTATCATCATGGCGATGTGACCGATGCACTGGATGGTCTTTCCCAGGCCCATCTCATCAGCCAGGATCCCGTTGATGCCGTTCTCCCACAGCATCTGACAGCACAGAGGAACAACACAGACTGATGGGACAGTAAACACGATGATGTCCACGTGAACTGGTGAGAATGGTGCAGCTAACTGGTGAACTTATGGTTTAGGGAAAACTGTGACCCCTCTGTTCAGACACTATCCCCTCATTTAAACCTGATGCTGTGTGACGCACGTTACTACAGGACGACTTTGCACAGCGTCCCTCGTCTCTCTCT